ATACTTAAAACCCGGGGCTGTTTGGGGTATGGAAAAATTAGTCCCTATAAATATTTTAATTTATATAAAAATTAAAAATTTTTAATTTTTTATTTTAAAAAACAGATTTTCTGGAAAAATTTTTTTAAAGCTCTTTTTTTCAAACCCCTCCAAAAAATTGGCGGAAAAAACTAAAAATAAAAATTAATAGGTTTTTTTCAATCGATGGGCGAAGCAAAAAAACCCATTTTAAAGTATTTTTTAATTTTTTTATTTTTAAAGGTTTTAAAAAATCTTTTTTTAAAATTTATGGTTTTTCTTTAATGGGGGCCAGGGGCATGACCGGAAAAATTTTTTGGGCCCAACCCCTAAATAAAAAAAGTTTAAAAAAAATATAAAGTTTTCATTTTTTTTTATTACCCTGCTTTTTTGGGTTTTTTATAGGGAAAAATAAACCAAAATGATTAAAACTGGTAATTTCACTGTTTGAAAAAAGTTGGGAAATTTTCCCCCCCTTTTAATTTAATTTCACTTTTGAATTTTAAAGGCCCCCCTTTTTGTTTTTTCAGTGAAATTACCGGGCTTTTCCCAAAATACTGGTAAACCAAAGCTTAAAAGGAAACCCTTTTACGTTTGTAAATGACGGTTTACCGGGTTTTTTAATTTTTTGGCGCCCCTTTTTTATTCATATTAGGTTAAATGTCTTTTTAAAAAACGGGTTTCCTTTTGGGGGGTTTTTAATAAAAAAAAATTTTTTTTAGGTTTTTGTGTTTTAAAATTTGGGGAAATTTTTTATTTTTTTAAAACCCGGGGAAAAAACCCCAAAAAAATTCATAAATTTTAAATTGGGGCTGCCCCCCACCGTGAAAAAATACCTTTTTTTGGGTCCCCCTCGGGTGAAATATATTTCCCCATTTTTTTACCCAAATTTTAACTAAAAAAAAATTCCTCTAAAATCATTTTTTTCCTTTAAAAATGGGGGGCTATGTTGGGAAAAAAAAAACATGTTTTTAATTTTTTGATAGGGGAAACCCCTTTTTTTTTTCATTTACTAATTTTTTATTTATAAAACCCCTCGGGAAATTTGGGTTTTTTTTAAAATTAAATTAAATTGCTTTAATTTTTAAAAGGGCTTATTTATATCAAAAATATATTAAGTAAGTAATTATTATTATTATTATTATTATTATTATTGCTGTTAAGATATTTGATTATTTCAAAACTTGTTATTGCCAAAAATATTGCTTTTGAAGCTTATTTTGGCTATAATTCGCTCAATCTATGAGAAAAAAAAAACGTATGAAATGTGAGATGTTATAAATTATTTTGAAAATTAACTTATTTTTATGTTACAAATCATAATTATAAGAAATAAATGAGACTGTATCATTTTTGTCAATACAGTAAACTTCACTTATAGCGAACACGGTTATAGCGAACTTCCGGTTATAGGGAACAATTTATTTTGGCCCGAATTTTGCCTTTCTTTTTTTAATATAAAAATATATGGTTATAGCGAACACGGTTATAAGGAATTATCGCTTATAAGGAACTCATTTCTAAGTCCCAATTTAGTTAATACTACAGAAAATTACACTTTTATAACGAACTCCAAAATATTGGCTATTCGTAAATAGATCCCGCATTTTCAACTTTCGTTTTCATTCGCACGGATGAAAACTCGGGCGAATGTATGTACTTCAATACATCTATTCAAATGAATTTGTATAGTTTTCTATTTAGGATATGTTTAGCATGAGCTCTTTTTACCAAGATAAAACGGTTATTTATTTATTTTCTTCAATAGTTTTGCTCGAGTAAAATAATTAAAATAATTTATAATCGGTTTTCAACATAATCATGCATGCTTGCAAGCATGATCCATTGCAAACTGCAAAGTCACTTGATTTAACTGAAAAGAAATTATATCCTACATTAGTAAAAGTCACCCTTAAATTATAATAGAAGATATTCAATATTAAAGGAAGGAAAAATCGAAAATCTTGTTTATTCGAAAACGAAAAGAGTTTAGAAACAAAATATAATAATTATATTTTATGTGAAATTGAGATAGGGATTAAAACTAAAACTGAAATAGCAATGATTTCAAATTCCAAAAAGTACGCTCTCGGGTATTGTGTCTAAAATATAAATAAATGACTAACATTTCTATTTCTTAATCAAATGGCGGACAATGGTAAACAATCAGTTCGTTATATGTAAATCTATTCGCTATAAAACTCCTGATACAAGGAACTAATTCTCTATATGCTTACATGTACAAGGAACTCCAGATATAAGGAACAGGTTTTGAATGTCCCAGTGAGTTCGTTATAAGCGGAGTATACTGTATAACTATGATTCTACATATCATAATGTACATTGTAGTTATAAAATTAATGATACATGTTACATTCGAAATACGTTTATTATCCCTCGTCGGAAGGCGGTGGGGGATATAGAAATAGTCTCCGTCCGTCTGTCCTTCCGTCCGTCCATCCATCCGTCCATCCGTCCGACAATTTGTCCGGAGAATATCTCAAAATGTATTTGAGGTTTCTCCTTGAAGCTTCATAGGTGGATAGATCATATTATGGAGGAGTGCAGTGCACAAGAATGATAACCTACCCTGCATTATTTTTCAGTTATTGATTGCCCTTTGTTATTTTTCAAACTTAATTTTTGTCCAGAGCATAACCCAAAAACCCTTTGAGATATCAACATGAAACTTCATAGGTGGATATATCTCACGCAGGAGGTTTGCAGTGCTTAAGAGTGATAATTCTACCCTTCATAATTTTTAGTAATTGCCCCTTTTTTCATACTTAATTTTTCATCTGAGTGGCTTAAGCCCTTTGTTATTTTTCATACTTAATTTTTCATCTGAGTGGAGCATAACTCAAAAAAGTCTTTGAGATGTCAACATGAAACTTCATAGGTGTATTTATCTTATTAATGAGGAATGCTGTGCGCAAGAATGATAACTCTACCCTTTATAATTTTTGAGTTATTGCCCTTTGTTATTTTTTATACTTTCTGTCTGGAGCTTTAATATCTGAAAAAAAGCGTTAAAGGTATCAACTTGAAACTTCATAGGTGGGTAGATCTCATTGAGAAGGAGTGAAGCACACAAGAATGATAACCTACCCTGTAAAATGTTTCAGTTATTGCCCTTTTTTATTTTCAGCCATCAGTATTCACATATGTTTTAAATCTGTAATCATTTCAGCCATCAGTTTTCATTACCAAAAGGCCTCTTTAAATCGAATTATTCTGCTCTACTACATATACATTCTTCCAATGAGCAAACACATGCTAACATGGCTCTTGTTATAATAATAATAATAATAATAATCGAAAACATGAAGATAGTTTTCAAATTTCAACCATTTATTGATTGATTGGTATTTTTTTTTAAATTCATAACGTTAATACCGTAAAAATGAGATCAACGCTACTTAACAATTCAACTCAATATATAATTAACTTTTAATACAAGAAGAAAGGTTGATAATTTAAATATGAATTGAATAAGTTACACAAGGTTTCTATTTATATTTCTCGCGCGTAAAATGAGATTCCCGTACGTGTATACGTTAATCGTTACCAATGCTTCAAAAAGATAGTAAACCAAAAAAAAAATTAAGAGTCATGAACATCATCGCCATTATCTTGATCATTTTCATAATAAAATGAAACCGTAATCATCGTGATCATTATGATCATCGTCATCATCCTGACAATCGTGATCATTGTAATAATCGTAATAATCGTGATCATTGTAATAATTGTTATCATCGTGATCATTATCATCATCGTCATCATCCTGACAATCGTGATCATTGTAATAATCGTAATAATCGTGATCATTGTAATAATTGTTATCATCTTGAGCATTATCATCATCGTAATCATCGTGATCATTGTAATAATTGTAATCATCATGATCATTATTATTATCGTGACAATTGTTATCATTGTAATTATCATGATCATCATGATCATCGTGATCATTGTCATCATCGTGATCATCCTGACCATCGTGATCATTGTTATAATCGTAATAATCGTGATCATTGTAATAATTGTAATCATCTTGAGCATTTTGAGCATCATGATCATCGTAATCATCGTGATCATTGTTATCATCGAGACCATTGTTATAACTGTAATTATCGTTATCATCATGATCATCGTGATCATTATCATCATCGTGATCATCCTGACCATCGTGATCATTGTAATAATCGAAATCATCGTAATAATCGTGATCATTGTAATAATTGTAATAATCTTGAGCATTATGAGCATCATGATCAGCGTAATCATCATGATAATCGTGATCATTGTAATAATCGAAATCATTGTTATCATCGTGATCATTGTAATCATCGTGAGCATAATGATCATCGTAATCATCATAATCATTGTAACTATCGTGATCATCATGATCATCGTAATCATTGTAATCATTGTTATCATGCTCGTATTCCTCCGTATAGTCGTCAAAGTGATCATAATAGTTATCATCGTATATTTCCTCGTCGTCATCGAGATATCCGTAATCGTCATCAAACCCGTGAGATTGCATCATTTCTTTAATTGTCTTGAATGGCTGATTCTTGACTGTATCTAATTCGTTCTTCAAGTCAGACAAATTACAAATCGCTCCTAAGCGCAACATTGCCTGCAATGGTATCAAAAAGAAAATGATTTCCCAACTTGATATTAATATACTACTTATTTACTGAAACACAAGCGTTAAAATGTATTCGATTAAATATGTTGTGTCATAGTTTAGCACTATCATTTTGTACTCACTTAACATGCGGACACAAGCGATTAATATGTAAGTGTTCTTCCGTGATCTTCTACAGAAATTAGAAACTTCGACGGGAGCGATAGCGAAAGAAGAATGTTTCTAAATTCTTTAGAACAGCTACGGATGAATACTATGGAGGCTATTCGTTTAAAAAAAAACCAGCCTTTGAAACTTGACAATGTATACTTCGGTTCTACTAAACAAATCAGTAAATATCTTATTGTCGATCCGAGAGTTAAAATCTGCACTGCTATTGTTTTGATTATCTAGATTTTATAAAATAGATGCTGTTAACATGCAACTTAGATAAATTGCAAACTGCATTTAGAAATGTATAACTTCAAGTTTGTGACATGTAGATATGTAAATGATAGAATGTACACAGCACGTTTTATGCCGTACATTATGACATTGAGAATGTGACTGCATCAGTTGATAACTTTTATATTCTGCAACTTCCATATATGGCATGATCACGGAAATAGACAAAGATTAAAAGGCGGAGCCAATTTTCACGAGAGCAGAAAATAAAGAGAGGCAACTCTTACTGTACAGTTATAACGAGTACAAAATATTTCAAATTAAATAAACTGTTTTATATGCCACATACATCATCTGCATTACATTTGACTTTGAATATCCTCTGATTTTGTGAAAAATGTATTCTATAGGACAGGATGTTCAAGTAATGCAAAAGTGGTTTAGATATAATGTAACAACGTTGGTAGAACGTCATTCAACTGATAATGAGCATAATAATATGCAAAAACTAAAGATAGAGAATTTACATAAGGGAATGTTTCTCACATAAACTACTCAAATTTTACTAAGGATCACCTTTTTGACATTGCATATTGCAGTCCTATTATCATCATATTAAAATCATATTTCCGCTAACGATACACTTGTACGGGGACCTCATAATCGTGTACTTATGTTATCGAATTGTCTTAGAAAAAAAACATTTAGATTTGTCAACGTATACTTGACTACGTGTTTTTTAAAGGTATAAGTCCTACGTGATATTTAACTAGTTTTGCCAAATAGGGTTTCTAATCACCTTTTCAGTAATGTCCCACTTTTCTTCGAAGGCCTTTTGATCTATAATTGCTTTTTGTAGATGATTAATCTGAAATGGAAATCACAATACATAAACACCAGTAAAGAAATAATTCAATATGTTTTTGTTGTTGTTCTTGTTGATTTAAGCTCGATTGTGAAACAAGCTCTTAATCACCTTCGGGTCCGCTCCCTGAAGCCACCAGTGTACTGGTATCATTTGAAAAAAATATGGTCGTGGCCCTATAATGGGTCGAACAAATGATCTCTGGGTAGAAAGGCAAACACATTAACCACTAGGCCAACGCTCTTATTTTTTTAAACAAATAAACCAAATTTACATATTTAAACATTTAAAAGTGTTTTGACTTGCCTAAAAATCTAAGCTTATATCACTTGATTATAATTCACATGTGTTGAATGCCAAACACTTGAAAATATTTTACCTCATTTCGAACATTTCGAATTCGCACAATATCTGCAATTTCCCCAACTTCAGTTTCGGGTATATTCTTGTTGTCTTTCTCAGCCCACCATTTACATTTGCCGTCAAGTCCGCATATATTCTTCAATAAATATACCAACAAAGTGATATCGAACTTTTCTGAGCTCGGAGGACCAGTTTTTGGGAAAAGCAAATCATATTGCTTCTGGCTTATAAGCTTTTTACTTCTGCCATTGTTGATTTTCTTTGTGGATTTGTTAATCTCTCGGTGGAGTTGTGGTCCTGGTGGGACAGTTAGGTCAAACCTTGCTTTAAGTACAAGGGTTGAAAGTTTGAAAACCACCAAGTTAAGCCGAACGTAGTTTTGTCCTTTTTGTTTGTCGCCTATGTCGTTTGCCGCGGAGGATGCCATTAATACATCAAGTTCCTTCCTTTCCCTCCTGTATCTCTGAAATTTGAAATGAAACTAAAAAGAAAATACAACGAACATAACTTCTTTATGTTTATTGGATATTGTTTATTTGAAATAGTTTATTCCATACGGAGCCCCTAAGGTGACATTTTCAACACTATTTTCCCGGAACTTCGATCCTTTTTACGAAATAATAATTCGTAATAACGAAATTTTAATTCGTAATTACGAAATATTAATTCGTAATTACGAAATATTAATTCGTTTTTAAGAAATATTAATTTGTAATTACGAAATATATATACGTTTAAACGAAATATTAATTCGTTTTTACGAATTATTTATTCATTTTTTAAGAAATATTAATTTGTTTTTACGAAATAGTAATTCGTAATTACGAACAAAAAAAAGAAATGTTATTTCGTAATTACGAAATAATAATTCGTTAATACGAAATAATATTTTGTGAAAACGAAATAATTGTTTTGGGGGTTTCAAAGAATTTTGGCTATATTTATAAAGAAGGCCCTGAAAATAAGTTCCTGATTAAATATAAGACATGTAAATGCAATATAAAAATAATTTTAATCTTCGTAAGTTTTATAACTTAACATTATTGTATATAAATTGAAATAATCTCCTGGTAATAGCGTTGCCGCCACAGCCGTGATAGTACACGCGCTAGGAAAATTTTGTTAAAAAATGGGGTCCTATGCTTCAAATCCAAACACGGAGAATATTTTTCTGTTTCGTTTTGTCGATATTATTGATTTTAGAAATAAAATATTATGTTTTAATGATCGCACGCTGCCCATACATAAATTGTAAGGAAAATACTTTTTTAAATTGATTAGATTAATGAAAATCTGGAGCCCCCATCCCACTTTTTAGTATTACTAATGTTTATGATAAAAGAAAGTAATAATTTTTTTTTAAATGTCAGAAAAGATAAATTGTCTCAAAAATTAAAGCATTGCTGATGGGAACATGTATTTGACAATGGGGAAAAAAGAAGATATTTATGATTGAGAATGATTTCTCACTCAAAAACCCTGTTCACTTAAATATTATAAATTGAGAACCATTCGGCTTATAATTGCAAGGTTGATCCAGGCTTGTAAATGACCACTTTGTGAGATTAGTAGTATTATGACAAACTCACGATAACATTAAATAAGATTTCGTAAAAACGAATTAATATTTCGTAAAAACGAATTAATATGTCGTAAAAACGAATTAATATTTCGTAAAAACGAATAAATATTTCGTAATTACGAATTAATATTTCGTAAAACGAATTAATATGTCTTACAAACGAATTCATATTTCGTTATTACAAATTAATATTTAGTAAAAACGAATTAATATTTCGTAAAAACGAATTAATATTTCGTAAAAACAAATTAATATTTTGTAAAAACGAATTAATATTTCGTAATTTCGAATTAATATTTTGTCAAAACGAATTAATATTTCGTAAAAACTAATTATTATTTCGTAATTATGAATTAATATTTCGTAAAAACGAATTAAATGCCAGGATAAAAGTGTCGAAAATGTCACCTTAGGGGCTCCGTAAATCAGAAACGTCCGTCTCTTATATTATTATTGAAAGGTTTCTATCTAGCTAAAGACATCATTATTGTATGGAAATCAGATATTCAGTTCATTAAATATTCATTCAATACATATATGTTTTAAATTTTAAAAAATCTGCCTAGGTCGGTTTGAAAATACCAGGTATATGATAGGTTTTAAAGACCTACAATATGAATATCGTTTTTTGACAACTGTTATGTGATATGAACAGTTATTCTAATAGTTCATTTTAATGATTCATATCATAATCGATACGTTTTATATACTCTAGTTTAAGTTGTTATTTATTAAGCGTTCGGAATAACCTTGATAACTTAAATCGAATCTATAAAAATCCCAAACCGGTTTTTAATGAAAATCTGAAAATGCTATATTCATCTGAAAACGTAATATATTAACTTGTTCAATCCTGAAAGTAATCACCTAATTAACAGTGCATAAGGCTTAAAATGACATTATGCTGTCAATATGAGCTGAATTAACTACATTTCAAAAGATTGAATGGTATAAAGATGGTGATATATCGGTATAATGCTGACTGACCATTAGTTGATGCTGGAAAATGTTAAAGATAACTTATAAATCTGCCTAAAGTTAAAAAAAAAATACCCCACTCTTTCTTAATCATTGAACGTAACAGGTAAATTCCGATGGGTATTCATAGACGTAATCGCCATTATCGTTCATGCGAAGTAAAGAATAATATTGAAAATATTGAAGAAAATGTAGCAAAATGTAAACTTATTTTGTCTCCTTTCACCTGTTCACTCAATTAATACCCTTCGATGGGCATACTTTCACTTTAATAACCACTTCTTGTTTCGTTTTATACTTAATAATTGCATTTTGTTTCTACTTTTAGACAAAAGAAAACAAAACTCAAATAGACTTCAGCATATTTATTTTACTACTATTTGAATACATTATCGAAATTATAACAAATCTTAGCATTCTAAACTTACTTGATATTATTATCCTATATGGATTTATTTCCAGGTTGTATTAAAAGCTTAACATTTACATTTAAATCAAAGAGCCCACATTTACAACTGTTTTTGAAAAATAGAAAAGATAAAACGCGCACATTGGATAATATGGCGTAAGAATTGGATACATCAATAGGTAAAGTTTATCTATTTACTACCGGGGTCAGTGAAGTAAAATTATATAATTAATGCTATATGAATATGTTTGTATTAAGTTTTGTAAATTTTTATACTGAAGCCAAACAGCGACATTAAATTTGGTATTGGACAAGGTGGTACCCATACATATATTAACGTCAAAGGATAAGTACAACCCTTTAAAATACCATTCCTGTGGTAGTGGTGGTGGTAGAAGTAGAAGTAGTTGTTAATATTATTTTATTTACAGAAGGTTACACTTTAAGACATATACAGACTGTAAACCTATTTTATAATGCAGTTCCAAACTGTGTGTTTTTGTTGATCTTTCAGTTTCTTCATTTCGTGTTTAAATGCTTGAAATTATCATTTAGCGCAATACCTGCAGTAGTTGCCTTAATGTTCGACCTGTAAATATATTAATTAATTATTAATCTTTCAAATTGTATGATAACCATGCTACATATATTGTAATGTATTATCATTTAGTTCAAAATTTATCTTGTTCTGTCTATCGACGTAGAGCCTACCTTATAAATTAAAACAAGTTTGCATACGCCTAAGTAATAACCGCAGAATTAGCTTTGGATATATAGATAAAATCTATAGTTTAAAATAAGGCCCAACCTTAACTAACGTTCGCAAACTGAGACAAATTTCTTAAATTGGCAGAGATTTTACTCATCTGAAAAAGTTGGTTTTCACTGTCATGTTAAATCTCATGAACAATAAGTCATCCTAACAAGAAAAATAAGACATCCTACCAGGAAAAATGTTAAGGTTATGGGGCATGAGGTATTTCTTACAAAACACTACCTACCAAAGGACAAGATAACATTTGTTTTTGTGACTATGATATAACATATGACTAAAATTGGCGGCAAACGGGAGGGTCGGGTTTATGACCCTTCGAAAAGAACAATCAAAGGATGTATCAGAGTGGCGTCCGGACAATGGTGCTAGTTTACGTATTAATACTTAAATTTAAAATTCACGATGACATCGGGCGGCCTTGTTTCTTTGGTGACTACACTTCATTCATTGTTGTCAACAAGAATCTCCGAACTGTTGCACTATTAACTCTGCAAAGAGCCCGGACCAAGAATAATGCAACGGTTACCTACAGAAAATGGTGCTTTTTATGAAAGTTCATAGAGTCAAAAGTAACAATAAAAACCAGCACAGTCAAACGCCAATTTTAAACAGTACCTCAGGTTCGCAGAAAGAATACCTATTTCTTTATTATTTCAGTACAACAAAAGACAGACTATTTTGTTTGTACTGTTCTCTAGTGTTTCACAAACAACACATGCAAATCTTGTATAGAAGGTTTGGATTCGTTTATAAGCCCTATTCATTTTCAGTGTTTTTCCAGAATACTGGTATCCTGAACTATACTTTTTTGCCTCTTTCACGAAAATATTCCATTGGGTGCCAGTGTGGTCTGTTTGTTTCTCTTTTGTTGGTTATAGATCTTATATTTTATCAGTATTAACACTTGAATGTAAATACAGACAATTATTTATACTATCTTTAAATTATCATTTTTACATTGTTTTTCCGTTTAAAACTGACTTTCAGTGATTACTATCATAGTTTATTACTTTGCAAATAATTGTAGACTCGAATAAAGCCTTTTAATGTTTGTTACACGCGTTAAAGTAAAATGCAACATTACATTTTATAATGGAAACACTTCATAAATTGCAATAAAACGTTTATTATGTTACGAAAATTCCAGTCAATTAGATTTTCTTCTTAAAACCGATCTTAAAGTCGCTTCTTGCATGAGAAACGATCCCTGCAAAATATATAAGGGGGAAATAAATCTATTGCAACTGTGCATATATTTGACAGCATTTATTCGAGAGTATTGGTTATACAACAAAAATTGATGACATAACAGTTCACTGACATAATTGCTCTTGAGAAGTCAATATCGGAAACATTAAGAGACGAATATTGTGTTATTTACTAGTATCAATCTATTCCGATAATTTATATGGTTGATGTTATCTATAAAATTATAACGAAGTAATGCATTGTTATTTTTGTCTGATGTGTTTAGTTAATTGATGGTAATTATAGAGGGATTGGATCTTTTTATGCCGCCTTTAAAATCTAAACATAATAACAATTAGTATTTCATTGAAATGTCAACAATAATAAAAATAAACTAGATTAAAAGTAAAGTAACAACTTTATAAATCATGAATATTTTGTTGCATAAACTTTAAATAAAATGATTATTCTCACCGTTCCCCCCCCTGCCCCTCCCGCCTCGTATTCCCTTTAGATGTTTAAAATAAATAATCATTTAAACTTGATTTAATCTCGGGAGACAGATTAAATTCACCTCTTTATTTTTTAGAAACATGTCAAGTATAGGTTAGTGTTTAATAATACGTATTAACAAAAATAATTGATCAAGCCGACCGATTATTTTTGTTAATGTGTATTATTAAACATTAACCTATTTAATGATCAACATTATTTTTAACCAAAAACAAGGCATTTCTCTTAATCACCGATAGCTCCGCCCTTTCGCTCTACAAGATGTCTACACCTTGCCAAGTTTCTAACATGTCACATTTAGATAAGCTAAATAAATGGCCCCTTCAACATATAATCAGGTACATTTTTTACTGAAATGTCACAGAATTTATACCTTTATCTACAGTAAGACTATCATGTTTCTATAAAATATCTGGAAAAAAACAACAGCGAGGAAAACGATGCAATTAGGTAAAAACAATTGAGTTAATAAAATGTGTTCATCCTTTTAAAAAAATGGAAAATGTGAGAAAAGTTCATTAGAGATTACGAATTGATACAAATTCGTTATTAGCTTCAAGTTATTCACTAACATTTAAAATACCTATTGGTTTGCTCAAAACAGTTCATTTATTTTTTATTTTTCTGTGTGTCAATTTAGGTTTACAGGTGGAGGGGGTCCATTTTCAATGAGTTTTCCAACCAAAAATATGTAATCATTGTATTCTTAATATCAAGGATTGTTAATGCATTTCATTCCTATCAAGTGAAAGAAAATAATGTTTTGGTTACTTTTTCTAGAAAATATTAAGTTTAAAAGAGTCAGCAATTTATAACGGACATTTTTCTTAGAGTTAAAAGGATATAAAAAAGTTACTTCGTAATCATTTGTCTCTGCGTGCCCCAATGTATTATCGATCTATGTAATATATTAATTGATTGTATCCTCACATTTAGAAACACCTGACCTCGCCTAATTTTTTTTTATGGCATTGTTTTGCTAACCTAGATATTTTACAATTCAGAGAACAAACCACACCTCTAACTCCTCCCTTATATAATGCATTATTGAAATTTGTTAGACTGGTTAGACGACAGATTAAGTAAATTTTATTTAGTTAGTACACTTAGACTTAGCAGAATTTGAAAAATACTACAATGTGATTGGACAAAAAATAATTTTGATCATTAATGAAATGTGAAGTTAGTAGCACGCTAAATCAATGTTGGCTGGTTTTCTATTATGTTGATGTACGGGAAAAATGAATAAAAAAGATGTATTTGTATCAAAAGCAATGTCAAATAATGCTGGACGAATAGGGTTTTTATAGAATTTTCTTGGCGATCAACCGGTGTATAAACATTAATTTATACGTTTAAAAAAGTGCGTTTTGAAGTTCACTACGGTCATGTGAAAAAAAAAAAGTGTCGGTTTAAATAATGAATAAATATAATAAAACTGCCAAATGCTCATGATTAGGTCAAACTACAACAAAGGGAAAAGGTTGGTGACTCAAATTCTTAATAAATGATTAAATTGGAATAAAATATTTTAAAACTTAATGTCTGACAGGTCTGTATTTCCCCATTGTGAATTACCAAAGTATGGTGGCTGATTTGTACCATTCGTGTTTTTGCCCCGCGACCCCGCCAAGCGAAAAATCGAGAATTAACAAGTTAAAATGGCGGGGGCGCAGAGCGAAAACACGCTAATTAGCGAGGGTGCGGGGCGAAGTTTAATACACAAAACTTCGCCCCGCGGGGTCGCGGAGCGAGATTTAAGAAATAAAACGGCGGGGACGCGGAGCGAAAACACGCTAATTAGCACAAAATGATAGCACTAAGGTAGTTGTATTTTCAAAAAAAAATTCATAGTTTATTAGTTTATTTCAGTCTCTTTCATATGCATACATATATACATAAAATATATTAAAAATTGATAAAAAGTACATATGACCATTCTACAATAGAATTATAAGAGACTATATCATGTATATACTTATCATTATCCCTTTACAATTGATAGTTAGTTCCTATTGTTAACAGTAAAGCAACATTATAAGAACATTTTACATCATAAAAGTTAGATTATCCCCACTGACCTTCAATAAAAAAATAAATGAAGAAATGCTATAAGATATTTTGATAATAAATCTCTAAGTGTTGTAAAAAGTGGCACTATTCCACAAATTTAATAAAACTATATCACCCATGGTCAGACCATGCATGATTGGTCAGTGGTGATATTCTATACGTTAGTAGATAAAACAACTTATCATGTTTAAAACAGATATGTTTCATTTGTACCATACAATTTACTATCATCACATTTGTACAATAAAATTTACTATCATGTACTATAAGCACCGATCATCTGAAAAAGATGTTAAAAGACTATACTAAAATTAATTTAAAAAAGAAACTAAAACACTAAGTGGTCTGAAAAACCTTACTTGTACAATATATTGTAGCGGAGTTGAAGAATATTGTAACAGGTTTTGGCTGTGACTTTAACAATATCAATGTTGGAGAGAATAAATACAAGTTTATCTTCATCAGAGAGGTCAACAAATTCTGGCCTTATGTTACGTGCTGTTTCTAACATAGGTAACCTAATGTGCTCATATGCATTACAAGATAATAATACATGTTTTTCACATTCAACTGTAATTTCACATATTGGACATATCCTACTGTCAACATCAATGTTTTCATATCTACCAGTTTCAAGCTTTATGGGAGCTACTCCACATCTGAATTTCGCTAGTGCAGACATGTGTTTACGTGGCAAATATCGTTTACAATAATTTTCAGTTTTATAATCATTTTTTAACAACTTATAGGTTCTTAATTTATTACCACCATTCCCATTTAGACTAACATTCCTATTAAGCTTAGCTATCCATTCATCTTTATATAATGACATACATTTTTGAACAACTTTTTCACAAAAAGACTTAGATGAGACTGTTACACAACCACGTGCATACTCTACTAAATTTAACTTTTCCATATAATTATTAAATATAAATTGCCAGTTTTTACACCTATTGCTGCTCTTGCGCAAACAAGTAGAAACGATCTTATAATTCTATTTACATCCATTCTAACAAATCTATGCCATTGTTGACATACAGATCTCCATTGTTTCACATGTGTAGGCTGCCAAGCTAATTCTCCATATAAAGCTGCTGTAGGTGTATACCGCCCTACCCCCAGATAAAACGCATTGCCCTATTCTGTATCGCATCAATGCAGGAAAATGACTTATTACCCCAAATAGAAGCACCATATGAAATGACTGGCCAAACCATTGAATCATACAATTTAACGAATACATCATATGGCATGGACCCTAATGCTTTCGATTTGGCAATAAGTAACCCCAGTGTCATATGACACCAGTACTGGTTGTTTCCAGGAAGCAGACTCGCAAATGATTAATATATACTAGTTTCGCATTCGAGCTTAAATGAATATGTTTAAACTGATCAAATTTATGAACATGTTTACTATGTAAAGGATTTTTTCAGTCAGTAGAACCACCGACGTCACGTAAGGTAGCTGGATAGTTTCAAAGAATAATTGAATTCAAGGTCATAGGTGGTATTCGAACCCAATGAGTAGAGTTGCAAGTGGTTTGATTTTAAGACCTTAAACGCTCGGCAACGGACGACAGACACTGAGAAGTATACATCTTCATGATAATAACTTGTTCTCAGGTATGAAAATAATACGTAGCGATATTGACTAGCTCATACGCAGAATATTTAATCGACCATCTATGCTGTTATTAAATTATCTATAAATAAATGGTTACATAACTATACACATAACCCTACACAATAAAGAGATGTAATGATCTTATAATATGTATTAATTAATATTAACGTGAGAGTTTTAACACTTATAATCAATATAATTAATCAGCTGTCGACAAAATGGTGCCAGGGGACATTTTGGTGTTAGAATGCATTTCTCATTTCTTATATTGAGAGTGGTGACCTTTTCCGTTAAAAAAAAACATAACTGGCAATCTATAATTAATAAGTATAGTAGGGAAGTATTAATAAAGAGAATTTCATGTTTCTTTAAACAATTTATAGATAAACCGGTAGTAAGTAACAGAAAATGCAGAATTATTACAAAACAATGCAAAAAACAAAAATATTGTTAGTACACAGTACTACACATTCAAAGCTATTTGAACGCTCGGAGAAAAAGACAAAGTTCAAAGAGTATCGTTTTGTTACGATATGCATATTTAATATATGCATCAAGATTTTACAAACAATATTATTTGTTTGATAACATAACATCATAAATATAATATATATTGAATCGATTACATTGTTACTTGAATAGCATTACAGTGATACAATGATATTCTGATTTTAAATTTTATGATCAAATATTTTGTATCATTGTGTTATGTATTGTGCATAACAATGCATAAAATAAATCGTATTATCTGATAAATTTAATCATTATTCTCATTGTTACAATATCTTTCTGTAAACAAAACTTCAGAATGTGTGACACATATAGCCTGCATGATATAATTCAATCGTTAATGCTTATTGTAACATTAATCTTCTGTAATCTTAATAGTCAATTCATCACGGTGCTACATAATATATAATGATAAAGGGTGGTGTTAAAAAATATATCATGAAACACATCAATTACGTCTACTTTCCCTGACAGTGCTCAAAGGTATAATCAAGAATGAACAAAATAAGATAATACAGACTTCAGTATACTTTTAATTTTGTCAAAATTGTTTTAATTCAAATCACACCGACACACTTAATATCCCACCATTACTGGTGGGGGGGGGGAATATTAGTGTATCATTTTAGGCACAAGCGTGCATCTGAGCCAACAAATTATTCATGAAATATATCTCAGATATTTTTAACTTTATATTAAAATGTGTCCATTATATTTCAGAATAAGTGACCGATATCCAAGAATGCATACTCCATATACATTATCTATATGTAGCTTGTATAAATGACGTGACCTTCATATTGGTCGTCTTGGTAGTCATTTACATCATCATTATAATCATTCAAGTCATGAACATCATCGTCATGATCTTGAACATCATCGTCATGATCTTGAACATCATCGTCATGATCTTGAACATCATCGTCATGATCTTGAACATCATCATCATCGTCATGATCTTGAACATCATCGTCATGATCTTGAACATCATCGTCATGATCTTGAACATCATCATCATCGTCATGATCTTGAATATCATCGTCATGATCTTGAACATCATCGTCATGATCTTGAACATCATCATCATCGTCATGATCTTGAACATCATCGTCATAATCTTGAACATCATCGTCATGATCTTGAACATCATCGTCATGATCTTGATCATATTCATGATAATCGTTGTAATCATCATGCTCGTATTCCTCCGTATAGTCGTCATAGGGATCATAATCATCATAGTTATCTTCATATATTTCCTCGTCGTCATCAAAATATCCGTAATCGTCATCAAATCCGTGGGATTGCATGATCACAATGACTTTTTCCTTAATTTTCTCGAACGGTTGGTTCTTTACTGTATCTATTTCTTTCTTCAATTCGGGCAAATTACAAACCGCTCTTAAACGCAGCATTGCCTGTAATGATACCAAATAGAGAATGGAAATGAGTCCCCCCACTTTATCTCAGTATACTACTTTTATACTGAAACAATAGCGTTCGTATAACATTAATTTATTAGCGTAGTTTTGACTACGTGTTCTATATATATCGTAAAAACGAATAAGATCTACATGATAATTCAGAATTTTTGTAAAATAGAATTTCTAATTACCTTTTCAGTAATGTCCCACTTTTCTTCGAAGTCCTTTTGATCCACAATTGCTTTTTGTAGATGATTAATCTGAAAGGAAAAGCACAATTAATAAACACCATTGCTTATCTTTTTTGTAAACATATAAACCAAAATCAAATATCAAAATGCAAGCTTATATAACTTTGTCATAATTTACTTGTGCTGAACAACCAACACTCTAGAAAATAAACATGTTACCTCATTTCTAACATTCCTAATTCGTACAATATCTGCAATTTCACCAACTTCAGTTTCGGGTATATTCTTGTTATCTTTCTCAGCCCACCATTTACATTTGCCGTCGAGGCCGCATAACTGCTTCAACAAATATACCAACAAAGTGATATCGAACTTTTCAGAGCTCGGAGGACAAGTTTTTGGGAAAAGCAAATCATATTGCTTCTGGCTTAAAAGCTTTTTACTTCTACCATTGTTGATTTTCTTTGTGGATTTGTTTATCTCTTGGTGAAGTTGTGGTCCTGGTGGGACAGTGAGGTCAAACCTAGCTTTAAGTACAAGGGTTGAAAGTTTGACAACCACCAAGTTAAGCCGAACGTAGTTTTGTTCTTTTTGTTTGTCGCCTATGTCGATTGCTGCGTTTGCCACGGAGGATGCCATAAATACACCAAGTTCCTTCGTTTCCCTACTGTATCTCTGAAATTTGAAATGTAACTAAAAAGGAAAATACAATGTACATAACTTCTATGTGTTTATTGTACATGTATATTGTTTATCTAAAATAGTTGAATCGGTACGGAGCCCCTAAGGTGACATTTCCCACACTTTTTTTCCGTTTTACGCAATAATAATTCGTAATAACGAAATATTAATTCGTAGTTACGAAATATATATTCGTAATTACGAAATTTTAATTCGTTTTTACGAAATATTAATTCGTTTTACCGAAATATTAATTCGTAATTCCTATAATATTAATTTGTAATTACGAAATATTAATTCATTTTTACGAAATATTAATTCGTTTTTACGAAATACTAATTCGTAATTACGAAATATTAATTCGTTTTTACGAAATATTAATTCGTTTTACCGAAATATTAATTCGTAATTCCTATAATATTAATTTGTAATTACGAAATATTAATTCATTTTTACGAAATATTAATTCGTTTTTACGAAATACTAATTCGTAATTACGAAATATTAATTCGTTTTTACGAAATAATTATTTCGTTTTTACGAAATATTATTTCGTAATTACGAAATATTATTTCGTTATCACGAAATTTTGATTCGTTAAAACGAAATGTTATTTCGTAATTTCGAAAAAAATAATTCGTAAATATGAAATAATATTTCATAAAAACGAAATAAACTTTTCTAGGGTTTCAAAGAGTTTTGGAAATATTTATAAAGAAGGCCTTGAAACTAAGTTCCTGACTAAATATAAGACATGTAAATCGTTATAAAAAGTGATTTTTCCCCCCAAGTTTTATAACTTAACACTATTGTATATAAATTGAAAAAATCGCCCTGCAATAGCGTTATCCCACAGCTGTGATAGAACACGCGCTAGAAATATTTTGTTAAAATAGGGGTCCTATGCTTCAAATCCAAACAAATTTTTTCTGTTTCGTTTTGTCGATATTATTGAGTTTAGAAATAAAATATTATGTTTTTATGATCTCACGGTGCCCATACATAAATTGTAAGGAAATATACTTTTTTAAATTGATTAGATAAATGAAAATCTCGAGCCCCAATCCCACCTTTTAGTTTTACTAATGTATATGATTAAAGAAAGTAATATACATGTATATAGCATGTTTCTTTTTTAAAGAAACATGTCAGAAAAGATTAATTGCCTCAAAAATTAAAACATTTCTGATGGGAACTTGTATTCGACAATGGGGAAAAAGATGATATTTTGGATTGAGAATGATTTCTCAGGCAAAAACCTTGTTCACTTAAATATAATAACTTGAGAACCATTCGGCTTATAATCGCTAGGTTGATCCAGGCTTATAAATAACCCCTTTGTGACATTAGTAGTTTTTTTGCCAAACTCACAATGACATTAAATAAGATTTCGTAAAAACGAATTAATATTTCGTAATCACGAATTAATATTTGGTAAAAATGAATAATTATTTCGTAAAAACGAAATAATATTTCGTAATTACGAATTAATATTTCGTAAAAACGAATTAATATTTCGTAAAAACGAATTAATATGTCGTAAAAACGAATTAATATTTCGTAAAAACGAATTAATATTTCGTAATTACGAAATAATGTTTTGTAAAAACGAATTATTATTTTATAATTACGAATTCATATTTCGTAAAAACTAATTAAACACTGTTAAGTGCCGGGATAAAAGTGTCGAAAATGTCATCTGAGGGGCTCCGTAAATCCGAACGTCTCTCTCTTATATTATTATTGAAAGTTTCTATCCAGCTAAAGACTTCATTATTAAATGGAAATTAGATATTCAGTTAATAAGATATTCATTTAATACATATATTGTTTTATATTTTAATATGAAAAAGGCAAAGCCTCAAAGCGAGCTCGATTTTCTTTTACCGTGAGATAGTTTTAAATAATCGTTCATTTTTATTTTACATTTTCCGTTTTAAAATTGTCATTCGGTATTTTATACAATGCTTCCGTTTATTCTGGTTCCTCCTTTCTATTATCAATATGAATATCGTTTTTTGACAACTATTATGTGATATGAACAGTTATTCTAACAGTTCAGTTTATTGATTCATATCAAAACCGATGCGTTTTATTTACTCTAGTTTAAGTTGTTATTTATTAAAACGTTCGAAATAACCTTGATAAATTAAATCGAACCTATAAATATCCCAAACAGGGGCAGATTAATCGAAAACGAAAACGATGACCCCAATTTTTTTTCCGCTTAAAAAATTTCTGTTATCATATTTAAACAACATGCCAAGTTTAAAGAAGTTCTATAGAACAGCTTTAATTTTGCGAATATGTCTATATGATAACTCCCGAAAACGTCCTTAAACATTGAACGTAAGATAAATTCCGATGGGTATTTATAGACATTCCCATAGGCGACGTAATTGCCATTACTGTTCATGCGAAGTGAAGTATTATATTGAAAATATTGAAGGAACAATAGCAAAATGTAAACTTATTTTGTCTCCTTTCACCTCTCCACTCAATTAATACCCTTCGATGGGCATCCTTTCACTTTAATTACCACTTCTTGTTTCGTTTTATACTTAATATTTGTAATTTGTTAAGAAAACAAAACTCAAATAGACTTCAGCATATTTATTTTAGATGCTATTTGAATACATTATCGAAATTATAACAAATATCTGCATTCTTAACTTACTTGATATTATCATCCTATATGTATTTATTTCCAGATTGTATTAAAAGCTTAACATTTACATTTAAATCAAAGAGCCGACATTTACAACTGTTTTTAAAGAATAGAAAAGATCAAGTGATTTTCCGAAAACGCGCACATTGGATAATATGGCTTAAAAATTGTATACATCAATAGATAAAATAGATAAATACAAAATCCCTAAAGAAAGCCCAACACGGCAAAATTAAAAATGTTGCAGGCTCGGTTTAATTGAGCCTGTTCATGGACGGTACTGGAAAGTGCAAGTTACCGTCCACGCCCCCTAGCACCGGCTTAAGCAGAATTCAACATTTAAACATGAAATGGTAAAATTTTGAATTTAGAAACATCCGCAGATGTGTTCATACGGCGGTTATCATGGAACCTTCAATGTGATACTTCCGTGCCATTCCATGAAAAGCGGCGTATGGTCCCCAAGTAATCAAAAGCGTGTGCCCTAAACGAGAAAACAATAGGCGGAACTAAATAAAATAGAATTTTGAAAGGGGATCAGAGGTTATGAAGCCTGCATATCACAGATAAGACGTCAAAAGACAAATTTAAAAAGCAGGCAACATATCCTAAGGGTGATTCAACATTATTCAAGTAGGAATACTGGAACCACCCAACTAGAAAATGCCGAAAAGTTGAAACTAAAAATACCACAAGCACAACAATAATGTCGTGCTGAACGATCTTCAAGGATCGAAAATATAACATCATTGATTATATGTACGGGGAGACTTTTTACAGTTTATCTATTTACTACCGGGGTCAGTGAAGTAAAACTATACAATTTATGCTTTGGTTAATATTAGCAGGCCTCGACATTAGCGGTGGTCCGTTGGTCCGAGACCACTTGATTTTGGCAAGGACCACCTAATTTTAAAACCCACTGGTCCGCGGGACCACTTGAATTTTCTGGTTGATGCAAGGCTCATTTGGGAGAATGGCGATTTGGTCAAAAACATGTTATATAATTTTGTTAAACTCATTAATCTATGTCCGATGTACATGGTTCATTAATCTCTGATTAATTAAAGAAGTTCTTAAGTCATCAATAACTTTCATTTTAAGTCGCTAAAATTTTGTTTATGCAAGTTAAAAGAGTAAAGAATTTGTGATATTAATTTAGGTACAAATTTCATTCAAATGGTGCTAGTAATTATGCATCGTCTGATACCCACAGCGGAACCATTAACATTTATGTTATGTTACATATTAATCAACCGTGAGTCAATGATGGTAATTATATGATATTGGATAAACTTAAATTTCAGATACTTGAATAATGGCAGCAAACGAAAGGAACTGGAAAAATACATCTAGTAATTCTATGTTATTTATCTTTATTTTAACTGTTTAACGAAAAGAGATCTGTTTCTTCTAGAGTTAAAATTATTTCAAAAGGTAAAAATACCCAATGTCAAAAATGAATATCAACCAACAAGCAACAGCTAGGGAGGTAAAATTCTGTATTTATAAATCTGTGAGAAAAATAAGATAAGTTATAGTAAATAATAATGTCATTATTTTAATAATTTAGATATTTCTTTGTTTTCAAAGACAAGAATAAGATAATTTATTAGTTCCATTAAAAATGTTAATCTTAAAAAAAATGCTATGTTATTATCATGATTATAAGATATACCACGTATCAGCAATGAATATTTGAATAACAGTAAGAAAATAACACTTCACAGACACAAATGGCTTCACTATTCCCTAACTTGAGTTGAGGGAGAAATCACTTATATATATAAGTTAACATAAATAAGATCTCTGTAGTGTATTTTTGACTGAGATAAAAACAAATAAACAAATAACTCTACGATAAAATACCTACTGACTTACTCTCGTTTTTCTGATTAGATGAAAAATATATATCTAAAAATATCTGTTTTCTTTAAAGGTTAATAATACATCTTTGTCAAAAGTTTAAACATTTTTCTACATTTGCAATAAAATGATATAATAATGATAACTGACCACCTGACTTCTGGCAGGACCACCTAACTTTCAAATCTAGTGGTCCGGCGTACCACCTGCTAAAAAAGTTAGTGTCGATGCCTGATATTAGGGTTGAAATATGAATATGTTGTACTTTAAATTTTCTAAACTTTTATTTGGAATCCAAACAGCGACGTTAAATTTGGTATTGGACAAGGTGGTACCCATCCATACACATTAACGTCAAAGGATAAGTACAACCCTTCCCACTACCATTCTGGTGGTGGTGGAGGTAGTAGTAATAGAAGTTAATATTATTTAATTTATAGAAGGTAACACTTTAAGACATATACAGATTGTAAACCTATTTTATAATGCAGTTCCAAGCTGTGTGTTTTAGTAGATCTCTCAGTTTCTTTATTTCGTGTAAAAATAAAACATCCCACCAGGACAAATGAGACATCCTACCAGGAAAAATGTAAAGTTTGTGGATCATGAGGTATCTCTTACAAAATACCACCTACCAAAGGACAAAGATAACATTTGTTTTTGTTATATCAATCAGGTTAGTCGGAAATTATAAATAAGCAAAGCATTTTCTCACGCTTATATTTACGATATTGTGAAAATGTTGTTAGAAATGGAATGTTAAGCGCTTTTTTAAATGATGCTATAAATGTTTGTCTCTACAAGATGATACTACTAATCAACAAATTTAAAACATTAAAACTACATTTAAATTATAATGCAGATAACGAAAAGTTAAAGATTCACTAACGCAAAGCTAAACATCGTAATGAAATTGTTTTGGCTAGACATGTAATAGAAGATTAAGAAAGTTTGTAACTGTAATACTCACAAAGCAAGACGTTTGACTTAGGTAAGTATCTCTAAAAATAACAGAAACTATAATATCGGGATATCAAATGGTTAAACTGCTTATATTGGCATCAACTATAACAATTTAACCACGGTTGGGGGTTATGATGCTTCCAAAATAGTAATTTGTATTTTATTGACCACAGCCATAAAACGGGAGGGTCCGGGCTATGACCCTTTTGCAAAGAACAATCAAAGGATAGATCAGGGTTGAGTCCGGACAATGGTGCTAGTTTACGTATAAATTCATAGATTGAAAGTTCACGAGGATATAGGGCGGCCTTGGTTCTTTGGTGGCTACACTTCATTTATTGTTGTCAATGACAATCTCCGAACTATTGCACTATTAAATCTGCAAAGAATTCTGGCCGAGAGTAATGCAGCGGTTACCTTCAGCAAAAGGGCTTTTTATGAAAGTTCATAGAGTCTGAAATAACAATAAAAACCAGCACAATATAACGCCAATTTAAACAGTACCTGTATTATTATTTCTGTATTATTTCAGTACAACAAAAGACTGGTTCTTTTGTTTATTTTGTTCTCTAGAGAATGACCTTGTTTCAAAAACAGCACATGCAAATCTTGTATAGAAGGTTTGGATGCGTTTATTAGCCCTATTCATTTTCAATGTTTTTCCAGGATACTGGTATCCTGAACTATTCTTTTTGCCTCGTTCCCGGAAATAATCCACTGCGTGCCAGTCCGTCCTGTTTGCTTCTTTTTTGTTGGTTATAGATCTTATATTTTATCAGTGTTAACACTTGAATGTAAATAGAGACAATTATTTATACTATTTTTACCGTATCATTCTTACATTGTTTTTCCGTTTAAAATTGACTTTTCAGTTATTACTATCAGAGTTTATTACTTTGCAAATAATTGTAAACAGACTTAATTCAAGCCTTTTAATGCTTGTTACATGTGTTAAAGTAAAATGCAAAATTAGATTTTATTATGGAAACACTTCATAAATTGCAATAAAACGTTTATTATGTTACCGGAAATTCCAGTCAATCACATTTTCTTCTTAAAACCGATCTTAAAATCGCTACTTGCAACAATCCCTTCAAAAAATATCAGGAGGAAATAGATCTATTGCAACTGTGCAAATATTTGACAGCATTTAATCAAGAGTATTGGTTATATAACGAGAACTGAGGACATAACATTTCATTGACTTATTTGCTCTTGAGAAGCCAATATCGGAAACGTTTCTTTGGATTCCGACGAATAAGAGACAACTACTGTATTATACTAGCATCAATATATTCCGAGAATTTATATGATTGATGTCTAATAAATCTAGTATGTTTGGTTTATTGATGAAAATGATAAAGGGACGGGGTCTGATTTTTTTTTAAAAATTCATGCAACCATTTAAAATTTAAAAATAACAGCAATTAGTATTTCACTGAAATGTCAACAATAATTAAAACTAAAATTAAACTAAAGTCAAAATTTTATAAATCATGACTATTTTTGTATAAACTTCAAATAAAATTATTATTCTCGCCGTCTTTTTTCTCGCATTCGCTTTAAATGTTTGAAAGCAACAATACTGATAACATAATCATTTGAACTTGGTTTAACTCCTTTTAAATCACAGGAAACAGATGAAATTGATAATTTTTCACACCTTTTTATTTCTTAGAAACATGTCATCGAAATTTGGAGTTAGTAGAACTCTAAATCAATGTTGGCTGGTTTTCTATTACGTTGATCTTTCGTTTGGTATGTGGTGTGTGGGATGAGATTTAATTTATATAGTTATAATAAACCATAGAAATACTTAGAAATATTTCTCATACTCTAAAAATTTGTGAAGTTTTGTTTATTCGTTTCGAAATGAGAATGTAGCTTCACCTCTTACTTTACGGCGTCTAGTACTACAAAATGCTGAGTAATTTCCGAAGAGCGTTCCTTCTGAATGTCGTTCACTGACACAAACGAATTTCTTGATTGTAATCGCTAGGTATGCTAGTTCTTCAAAACATAAAGTAATTTACTAATGGTAATATGCACAACACGCCGAAACCTGTAAGATTATTCGAACCTGCTGTAACACACAACAAAATACGCAGAATCGATATTTTTTATCTTTCGTGCTGGACACAACTGTTATAGGCTAATGCCCCATATCTATCAGTCTTATCTTCATAAAGAATAACACCCCTTTTATATAAAGACTTAATTAATTTGTGCATATCATTGCCTGGTGATTCTTTGATTTCTGATTTAATTTGCTCCGACAAAGAGTAAAAGTACGCAGATCTTTTGATAACTGTAATGTCCCTTGTCTAATGTGTAGAAAAATGTGTGAAAAGGGTGTGGGGACTCTAATTCTTATAAAATAATTAAATTTAAATGATGATATTTTAAAATTACTATCTGACAGGTCAGTATTTCCCCTTTGTGATTTGCAAAGGTAAACAATAACATTATCGCACATTATGTAATAGGAATTATTAAAAGGCTCGACGAGGTTCTTTTTCCATCCTTTTTTCTATATTTTATTTATTTATTGATTTTTTATAATGTTTGATCGGGTTTTCACGTACGAACATAGTCACTGTCATAAAGCGACTTTCTAGCTTTACTGGTGGAGGCGGACTTCAGGAGACCCACTGTACATTATTTCAGGGAGGAATGGGCACGTGAGTAAAAGCCATCGTAATTTCATTACCTTGCTACATGTATGAAAGAATCAAAAGCCTCTTGCGGATCCGAACCAACAACGGTATGGGGGCAAGGTGAAAGATGTCAACGACCTTAACTTACTCGCGGTTAGCCATGTACATCACCTCATTTATCAAAAGAGTTTTCGAAAATCTGTTTTATATATATTGAAGAACAACTGACACATTTTCAAAAGCATTCATAATAGTGATAAAAAAATAGAAATGTATCGTTTGGATATGTGTACGAAAATATATGAGTGTATTGTTCAAAATGATTTAATATGAACATTAATTTTATGATGTTGGATTTTATTTTAGAACAATTTATTATCTGGTGTATGTAGATATGTCATATCAGATGATTAATCTACCTATGACATTGCAGAACTTCTTATTATAATGCTGAAAATGGAAATGACCTAGGATTTGATTAATGGTTGTAATATAGTTCTTCAACAATAAATAAATAAATAAATAAATAAATAAATAAATAAATAAATAAATAAATAAATCAATGAATCAATGAATGTATGAAAAAAGATTCAGCGTTAGAAGGAAATATTATTTCATATTGATATTTTTTATACTAGAAAAAAAATGTCTTTACATGTTTATAGTAATATACGTATCGATCTCTAATTGAAAGAGACAAAATACCATTTTGTTTGTAACGGCGCACTTGCATAGTTTAGCTTTTGTGACACGAGTTGGAATGATCCGAGGCACATTATATCTATCTATAATTATTTGTATGTCATTCAATTTCCTACCTGTTTAAATGATTTCTTACTTAAAACATGGAATTGTTCATTTCAGTGTCTTGTTTATAAAAGCCCATTGCTTGGCTTTTCCCCAGACCATTCTGTTTTTGTCATGATTGCTGTGAAATATTTTCACTATATATGTTTGGATGGAATTTTCATAATTTCTGGACATTTAATTAATTAGTCAAAATTATCGATTTTTTGAAATGTGTATCGATCGACAGAAAAAAACAAACAGTACATCGATATTGTTTCTATCGATGTCAGCTCTAATTTGGCAAATCAACATTCCACTCAAACCACAATAAAACCGATTGCCTTCAGACAAAAACAGAATCAACTTCTTCCCATAAAAATTCGGGAAATCAGGGTCGCTTTTAATATCTACGGTAAAGAAATGTTAGAAGTACAATCAGGGCCGTAAAATATGATGGAGCTATTTTTTTACCCGAAAGACAATTCTAAAATGATAATAATATGATATAACAATTTGTAAAAATGGCATATCATTTTTTTCGATGAATTTATAGTGAGTGCAATTTATTGTTGAATATGTTTGCATTGCATTTCTTGCAAAATTTTCCAGTTCGTAATTTATTACAATAGCGCGACTCTGTACTACAAAACAATAGATAATTTCCTGTAGAAGATACAAATGTAAGACAGAAATTACCGAATTTTAGTTTATTTTTGTTTTGTTTTGTCCTTTATACTGCCTACCCAGCGATTGATCTCATTCTCATTCTTTACAGTGACATGCGAATCACCGAAAAGGTAACCAATAAATGACTATACATTATAGAAATCGGAAGGAATTCTTGATTCCGAATTTATTTCTAAGATTAATGAATAAAAATTGGATCCATGGACAAATGAAGAAATAGTAAACACAAAAGCTCCGCGACTATTGGCGCGGCGCAATAATCATTTATATATACTATCTTTAACTTGTCATTCTTACAATGTTATGTTTTTCAGTTTAAAATTGACCTGTCAGTGATTACTATTACAGTTTATAACTTAATATTATCTTTGCAAATTGTTGTAATACTCCATACTCCATTAAAGCCCTTTAATGCTTGTTACACGTGTTAAAGTAAAATGCAACATTAGATTTTATTACATGATATGTACAGCTATGTACAATACAAAGGCACAGTTTTAAACTATTTTTTTGTAAGGAGGAATTAGTATACAATCCATGTATCTTGTCTTCATGAATGGACTGATGCGCGAAACTTCTAACAAACGACATTACAGAACAATACAGCATGACAACATATATCAATGTGAAATAATTTTACATATCTCATGTAAAATCGCTTTATAGTAGTACGTATTTCAGATATATATAGTTAATTTTATTGACATGCAGGTTGTTTTTTTCCATTGATTTATTGTTGATAATTTCTATGCCATCCGTCTATCTGTAAAGTACTTATAAAACATGAACACATAATATACTGTATCTTCACTTTCTCTCCGATTAAAATCAATCATAGGTACGGGATTTAGTAGCTTTGTTTATTTTTGTCACCTAGGATGATTATACGAATGTTCATGTTTAAATTTAACGCTTTCAAACATAGTATTAACTTTCCGCTTAAGACAACAATATACATGATTAAGTCATTATTTTACAATAACTAATGTAAAAAAATTTCATCTGTTATATTGTATCTTTTTAATTATAATGTAATTGTTTATTTTTCTAATCTGTTGTATGTGCATTATATACTGTTAAAATATATTATGCTCTCCAATTTTCAAGGATAATAAAATATAGTAATGAAACAAATCACACATCAATGCTTTAATTATTAGCTCCTTACTTACTTTATTTTCATATTTTCACATATTTTCTTGCTGATATCGTTCTCTTTCTTGTTCATCATCTAGATGATCTCGTTCACGTTCTTCTTCGTCAATTTAATGATCTTGATCCGATTCTTGTTCGCAAGTTTGCCTGTACCGTTCCCATTCGTCCTCATCAAAATCTGGCTCAATTTCCCCTTCGTTATCTTGTTGATATCTTTCCCATTCTTGTTCATCATCTAGATGATCTCGTTCACGTTCTTCTTCGTCAACTTGATGATCTTGATCCGATTCTTGTTCGCAAGTTTGCCTGTACCGTTCCCATTCGTCCTCATCAAAATCTGGCTCAATTTCCCCTTCGTTATCTTGTTGATATCTTTCCCATTCTTGTTCATCATCTAGATGATCTCGTTCACGTTCTTCTTCGTCAACTTGATGATCTTGATCCGATTCTTGTTCGCAAGTTTGCCTGTACCGTTCCCATTCGTCCTCATCAAAATCTGGCTCAATTTCCTCTTCGTTTTCTTGTTGATATCTTTCCCATTCTTGTTCATCATCTAGATGATCTCGTTCACGTTCTTCTTCGTCAACTTGATGATCTTGATCCGATTCTTGTTCGGAAGTTTGCCTGTACCGTTCCCATTCGTCCTCATCAAAATCTGGCTCAATTTCCCCTTCGTTTTCTTGTTGATATCTTTCCCATTCTTGTTCATCATCTAAATGATCTCGTTCTAGTTCTTCTTCATCAACTTGATGATCTTGTTCCGATTCTTGTTCGCAAGTTTCCTTGTACCGTTCCCATTCTTCCTCATCAAAATCTGGCTCAATTTCCCCTTCGTTATCTTGTTGATATCTTTCCCATTCCTGTTCATCATCTAGATGATCTCGTTCCAATTCTTCTTCGTCATCTTGATGATCTTGTTCCGATTCTTGTTCGCAATCTTGCTGGGACCGTTCCCACTCTTGTTCATCATCTAGATGAGCTTGTGCACATTCTTCTTCGTCATCTTCGTGAATTTGTTCCAATTCTTGTTCGACATCTTGGTTATAACGTTCCCATTCTTCTTCCTCATCGATATCTCGTTCAATTACCCCTTCGTCATCTTGCAGATATCGTTCTAATTCCTGCTCTTCAATGTCATCATTTACTTCTTCATCGGCATCAAAATATCCGTAATCTTCACCAAACCCATGTGATTGCATTATTACGATTATCGTTTCCTTTACGGTCTCGAAAGGTTGATTTTTTACTGTATCTAGTTCGTTTGTTAAGCTAGGTAAATGACAAATCTTTCCTAGTCGCAGCATAGCCTTAAATAAAAAAATAAAAACAGATCTAAATGCATGTACATATACAGCTTTAAGATACCTTTTTTTATAAACAGGTTTATGTTACAGTCATAAATAGAATTAAGAGAAAACATACACATGTGCATGTATATCTGACAAAATTTATCCACCAAATTTTGAGGCAAAGAGTTTGAACATCAACGCAATCGACAAAAAAGGTTAAGCATTTTACACAAATACATCATATGATTACCCTTTCTGCGATGTCCCAATTTTCTTCAAAATCCTTTTGATTAACAATTGCCTTTTGAAGGTGAGATATCTGAAAAAAGAATCGCATTGCAGTATCACCAGGAACAGAAACAACTCGTGAATATTTGCACCAATAGGGCAATGATGACCTTCAACCTCTTATTTTATTTCAATTTCTGTAAAATGCCAAATTTTCGTCAAAGCGAAATTGGGTCAAGTGGTCACATGTAAAGAAAACCAATCGTAGGAGCATGATTTTTTGTGTAACTTACTACGCAGCATTTCAAACTCACATTATTATGTAGTTTCAAAGAGTAAGTGACTTAAATGTTTAAAATTAAATATCTTCAGTCGAAATCAAATATTCACGAGTACACAGCCATTTTCAACTATAGTCCTATCCCTCCTACCTACACGTTTTGTATGACAATCGGAGGTATTCGTTTGGAATTTTATAGATAAATGATATTATTTCTGGAAAACAACATAGTATAAGAATAAAATATTCTTCAACATATTTTTTTAGTTATTGCCCTCAGAGTTATCATACTTAATTTTGCCCGAGGCATAAATGAAACAGTATTTAAGATATTTAATAAAAATTTTATCTTATTAAGGAAAAGTGCAGATTATAAGAACTGCCTTTTTTCAAGATTTTGTAGGCATTTCTTTTTGTTGTGTTCATGCTAGATATTTTCCATGTTAGGAAGCTATCCAGTTAGCTAACGGAATGTCGGTGCCTGTCGTCCCTGAAATAATATCTTTCTAGTTTCTGATAACATAGTACATGTATGTAAATGCAATGAAAGTGACTTTGGGGCAAAACCCTTTTTTGACATTACTATTATTCTTAAACTGTGTATTACTAGACAGTGTTACGGGACGGAATTTTAGCTGTATGCTTAGTAGGTATGAGAAGTATCTAAAATATAACACGCCCGGCAAACTGTCGCTCCACTTTAAAATTGTGGTGTACAGTAAAACGAGCGAACGGCATTTCCGAGATAGAGCGGAAGGCCGATTTAAACGCCTAATTGTAAGTATTGTTTATGTTTTTGTCTTGTTATTCATTTAAGTTGTATTTTTTCGAAAAACGGAAAATGTAGTTCCGTGTAGGATTGATTTAGGCTTCCAATGATCTAAACTGTTACAAAAAGAAAATTATATTATGTCCGGGAGAATTTTTCTCCCTGACGAAGCGAACGATGATTTGTAGAATATTGAACTTCCCAACCATAAAAATGCCATACCCTTAGGATTTCTTGAAAAAGTGTATTAGTAAATTATCAACCCGTAATAAGAACTTGTCCTTCGTGCAACATAAATTACTCCTGAAGGATTTCTTAAATTTGTAAATCGATATTTTTCTAAAGTAGTGGAGCGAAAGGGCGAGAGATTGAGCAAAAGGTTCGATGTTGAGCGCAAGGCGATATTAATTTGACGTATTAGGAGGAGCGTAGTCTATGATTTTTTACATATAAAAGCTATCGAAGTTAATATAGACGTGATCAAGTGTTAAGACCGATATATATAGTATTACCTTTTTAAGACAACTTATAAAGTATGATATCCTTTCAACGACTATAGCGTAATAAATGTAATCGCGAAGGTGTCACCTATGGCTGCCGTGTAGATTCCATTATTTATGTTCGAAATTTGGATGAGGCCCGACCATTGAATCATACACATGTATGCATGGCATAATACAGGATGCCACTTATTCGAGGTCAATCATGATTTTTCACACGGTTATGTACATTTAAAAACGTGTGTCCGTGCAAATGCGACAAAACCGAATATTTTTAGTTCTACCGCGAACAAATGTTTCCGAGCAGGTACGTGTAACTCGATTGTTTACGCCAAAATGTTATGTTTTTCGAAAAATTAGATATTCAAGGTTCAGAACAGAAACAAAATTATGCAATGCATGGAACACATTAAATTAAATGGATCACTACTACCGAGTTCAGTTCACAATGACTTTCTGTAATTAATAGCTCTAACGTACCTGTTCTGAGCAAAAACACAAATAAGCCACGTTTTCATGAATTTGTAAGGTGGGGAATCTATATGAAAATGGTTCACAAGGTGTCAGTCGTTATAAGGATATAACACGTGTTCCAGTTATGTTTCAAGATACTTCCTCCCTTATTTAGCATTGTTGTTTAGTTTATTATTTTTCTCTCAAAGTGTAAATAGAAATGTTTACTTTTATAATCAAACACTGCAGTACAAATCTTGGTTTAAGAAAAAAATAAGTTAAAATAAATATCTAAGATTTTGTTTGTTTATCTATGAACAAAACGAACGTAATAAAAAAGGCAGAGCTCAGTCGGTGTACGGACTAAAATTATCAATAATATAATCGACCTAGTTATAGTAGAAATTTCTATTTACACTTTGAGAGGAAAATAATAAACTAAACAACAATGCTAAATAAGGGAGGAAGTATCTTGAAACATAACTGGAACACGTGTTATATCCTTATAACGACTGACACCTTGTCAACCATTTTCATAGCGATTCCCCACCTTACAAATTCATGAAAACGTGGCTTATTTGTGTTTTTGCTCAGAACAGGTACGTTAGAGCTATTAATTACAGAAAGTCATTGTGAACTGAACTCGGTAGTAGTGATCCATTTAATTTAATGTGTTCCATGCATTGCATAATTTTGTTTCTGTTCTGCACCTTGAATATCTAACTTTTCGAAAAACATAACATTTTGGCGTGAACAATCGAGTTACACGTACCTGCTCGGAAACATTTGTTCGCGGTAGAACTAAAAATATTCGATTTTGTCGCATTTGCACGGACACACGTTTTTAAATGTACATAACCGTGTGAAAAATCATGATTGACCTCGAATAAGTGGCATCCTGTATTATGCCATGCATACATGTGTATGATTCAATGGTCGGGCCTCATCCAAATTTCGAACATAAATAATGGAATCTACACGGCAGCCATAGGTGACACCTTCGCGATTACATTTATTACGCTATAGTCGTTGAAAGGATATCACACTTTATAAGTTGTCTTTAAAAGGTATATATATCGGTCTTAACACTTGATCACGTCTATATTAACTTCGATAGCTTTTATATGTAAAAAATCATAGACTACGCTCCTCCTAATACGTCAAATTAATATCGCCTTGCGCTCAACATCGAACCTTTTGCTCAATCTCTCGCCCTTTCGCTCCACTACTTTAGAAAAATATCGATTTACAAATTTAAGAAATCCTTCAGGAGTAATTTATGTTGCACGAAGGACAAGTTCTTATTACGGGTTGATAATTTACTAATACACTTTTCAAGAAATCCTAAGGGTATGGCATTTTTATGGTTGGGAAGTTCAATATTCTACAAATCATCGTTCGCTTCGTCAGGGAGAAAAGTTCTCCCGGACATAATATAATTTTCTTTTTGTAACAGCTTAGATCATTGGAAGCCTAAATCAATCCTACACGGAACTACATTTTCCGTTTTTCGAAAAAATACAACTTAAATGAATAACAAGACAAAAACATAAACAATACTTACAATTAGGCGTTTAAACCGGCCTTCCGCTCTATCTCGGAAATGCCGTTCGCTCGTTTTACCGTACACCACAATTCTGAAGTGGAGCGACAGTTTGCCGGGCGTGTATAAGCTAATGCAAGATAATGGCGGGGCAATATTTACCTCAAGAGTCATGAACTATATCACTTTTGTAGAGCACTTTTAATGTTTCCTGCTAAATATTAACCACAAGAAATGTTTTTCAAGTCCTTAAATTAAATACACTATCTAGCAGGTGAAATGATGGATACCCAAAAGTATTTAAACTTTTCAAATACCTATAATCGTGAAAGAGTGTAGTTTCGGAAAGAATTAAAAAAGAATTTTAAATCTATTTTTAAATGAATCCTGCAATTTGGTAAATATGGATTCAAAAATTTACTCTGATATTTAAGAATTATTTTGTTTAAAGAAGTTGTGGATAGCAAAGGCAGTAAAAGCATCATAAAGGATTTCTGGGATTTTTGTGTCAGAAATATAAAGTGTGTAAATGGATTATCTTCGTGATCTATTTAAACAGTTAGGGAGTTTATTTATCCATACATTTTGTAAAAGTATTTTTTGTAAACGCACAACTACTGTTAACAAATATTTTACCTCGTTTCGAATGTTTCGTATCCTTACAATATCAGCAATTTCTCCTACTTCCGTGTCGGGTATATTGATGTTGTCTTTCTCTGTCCACCACTTACATTTACTATCAAGTCCACAAGTATGCCTAAGCAAATATACTAACAAAGTGATATCGAAGTTCTCAGAAGTCGGTGGAGAATGTTGAGGAAAAAGGAAATCGTATTGCTTCTGGCATATTATTCTCCTGTGCTTTGCTTTTTTAATAACTGTTATATATTTATTCAAATGTTGACAAAGTTGCAAACCTGGCAGAACAGCGTGATCAAACCTAGCTTTTAGAACAAAGGTTGAAAATTTGACAACCATTAAGTTAAGTCGAATATAGTTTTGTTCTTCCTGCTTGTCGCTAAACACAGAGGGCATCGCTACAATATTTTTTTGAATGTCAGAAAAAAATTACTATTATTTTGTATAGTATAAATAAAGTTCTGAAAAGAAATTTTGCTTTACTTTCATGGCGACTCTCTTTCATGTTTGTATATTGATCACTAGGTTATGTCCGCTAAAATCCACACATGTAAAGGCAGTAATTATAACACTATTGTCCGAATTATAAATCTAATGTTCGTATCATCATGCTGTAATCATAATGTTTATGATATGTAAGTATTTCCGTATTAAACCGTTTCAGACAACACTTTAAACTTAAACTCCGTAAAATACACAGTACATATTTGTCAGTTATCGAACCACGACTACATACATGTATTTGATAAAGGTAGGCGTTATACTTCAATGTTATTTAAATAAACTGCACATATCTTTTTATGAAACAAGATAACAACATTTAAACGAGGACACTACCTGATAGATACATTCATTATTTCTGGGCTGCTTTTGCACTAGGCCATAATAAAACAAGACGTATCTTTAAAACAAGAGGGCCATGATGGCCCTAGATCGCTCACCTGACCACTCGAACTCATCCGAACAATTACCAAGACAAGCATTCTCAAGTTTCATTACAGATGAGTCAAAAATGTGACAACTAGAGTGTTAGCAAGGATTATCCATATTTGAGCAGTGTGACCTAGTTTTTCACCCAGGTGACCTATATTCGAACTTGACCTAGAACTCATCAAAACAAACTTTCAGACCAATATCCAGGATACTTGGATCAAAACAGTAGCCACAAGAGTGTTTACAAGATTTTTCTATTTCTAGCTCCAGGGACCTAGTTTTTCATCCGAGATGACCCATGTTTATACTCATCCGAGCAATTACCTACACAAGCATCCTGACCAAGTTTGGTGATAATTGAGTCAAAAAATGTGACCAATAGAGTGTTAACAAGGTTTTTCAATTTTTGGGCTGTGTGACCTAGTTTTTCATACGGGATCACCCATGTTCGAACATGACCTAGTAATCATCAAAACAAACTTTCGGAACAATTTACAGGATATTTGGACCAAATAGTAGCCACGTGAGTGTTAACAAGATTTTTCTATTATTAGCTCCTGTGACCCAGTTTTTCATCCGAGATGACCTATGTTCAAACTCATCCGAGCAATGACCTAGACAAGCATCTAGACGAAGAATGATGATAATTCAATCAAATATGTGACCACTAGAATGTTAATAAGATTTTTCCATATTTGGGCAGTGTGACCTAGTTTTTGACCCCTGGTGACCCATATTCGAACTTGACCTAGAGATCATCAAAACCAGATTTTGGACCAATAAACAGGATATTTGAATCAAAACAGTAGCCACTAGAGTGTTGACAAGATTTTTCTATTTTTAGCTCCTGTGAACTAGTTTTTCATCTGAGATTACCTTTGTTCGAACTCATCCGAGGAATTACCTAATCAAGCATCCTGACTAAGTTTGAGGAAACTTGAGTCAAAATTGTGACCACTAGAGTGTTAACAAGGTTTTTCTATTTTTAGCTGCTGTGACCTAGTTTTTCAAATGAGATGATTCTTGTTCTATCACGTAGACAAGCATCCTGGCCAAGCTTGATGATAATTGAGACAAAAATGTGATCGCTAGAGTGTTAAAAAGGTTTTTCTTTCCCTATCTCCGGTTCCCTTGTTTTTTATTCGAGATGACCCATGTTCGAACCCATCCGAGCTATCACCTAGACAAGCATCCTGACCAAGTTTAATGACACTTGAGTCAAAAATGTGACCACTAGTGTGTTAACAAGGTTTTTTTATATTATGCTCCTGTGACCTAGTTTTTCATCCGAGATGACCCATGTTATCCGAGCAATGACCTAGACAAGCATCCTGACCAAATTTGATGATGATTGAAGCAAAAGTGTGACCGCTAGAGTGTTAACATTTTTTTTCCTATTTTTAGCTCCAGTGATCTAGTTTTTCATTCGAGATGACCCATGTTCGAACTCATCCGAGCAATGTCCTAGACAAGCATCCTGACCAAGTTTGATGATAATTGAGACAAAAGTGTGACCACTAGAATGTTAAGAAGGTTTTTCCATATTTGGGCAGTGTGACCTAGTTTTTGACCCTTGGTGATCCATATTCGAACATGATCTAGAAATAATCAAAATCATCTTTCGGAACAACTTACAGGATATTTGGATAAAAACAGTAGCCACTAGAGTGTTAACAATGTTTTTCTATTTTTAGCTCCTGTGACCTAGTTTTTCATCCGAGATGACCTATGTTCGAACTCATCCGAGCAATTACCTACACAAGCATCCTGACCAAGTTTGATGATATTTGAGTCAAAAATGTTACCACTAGAATGTGAACAAGGTTCTTCCATGTTTTGGTGGTGTGACGTAGTATTTAAGCCCTGGTATCCCATATTCAAACTTGACCTAGAAATCATCAAAACCAATTTTTGGACTAATTTACAGGATATTTGAATCAAAACAGTACCCACTAGAGTGTTGACAATATTTTTGAATTTTCAGCTCCTTTGACCTAGTTTTTACTATAAGAGATGACCTATGTTCGAACCCATCCGAGCTATCACCTAGACAAGCATCCTGACCAAGTTTGATGACACTTGAGTCAAAAATGTAACCACAAGTCTGTTACCAATGTTTTTCTATTTTCAGCTCCAGTGACCTAGTTATTCATCCGAGATGTTCGAACTCATCCGAGCAATTAACTAGACAAGCATCCTGACCAAGTTTGGTGATAAATGAGTCAAAAGTGTGACCACCAGAGTGTTAACAAGGTTTTTCCATATTTGGGCGGAGTTTTTCATCCGGGATGACCCATGTTCGAACTTGACTTAGAAATCATGAAATCAAACTTTCGGACCAATTTACAAGATATTTGGATCAAAACAGTAGCCACTACTGTGTTACAAGATTTTTCTATTTTTAGCTCCGGTGGCCTAGTTTTTCATCCGAGATGACATATGTTCAAACGCATCCGAGCAATGACCTAGGCAAGCATCCTGACCAAGTTTGATGATAATTGAGTCAAAAATGTGACCATTAGAATGTTTACAAAGTTTTTCCATATTTGGGCAGTGTGACCTAGTTTTTGGCCCCTGGTGACCCATATTCAAACTTGATTTAGCAATCATCAAAACCAACTTTTAGGCTTATTTACAAGATATTTAAATCAAAACAGTAGCCACTAGAGTGTTAACATGTTTTTGTTCTATTTTTAGATCCTGTGACCTAGTTTTTCATCCGAGATGACCTATGTTCAAAGTCATCCGAGCAATGACCTAGACAAGCATCCTGACCAAGTTTGTTGATAATTGAGTCAAAAATGTGACCACTAGAATGTTTACAAGGTTTTTTCTATATTTGAACAGTGTGACCTTGATTTTGACCCGTGGTGACCCATATTCGAACTTGACTTAGGAATCATCAAAACCAACTCATAGGCTTATTTACAATATATTTAGATCAAAACAGTAGCCACTAGAGTGTTAACAAGATTTTTCTATTTTTAGCTCCAGTGACCTAGTTTTTCATTCGAGATGACCCATGTTCGAACTCATCCGATCTATGTCCTAGACAAGCATCCTGATCAAGTTTGATGATAATTGAGTCAAAAGTGTGACCACTAGAATGTTAACAAGGTTTTTCCATATTTGGGCAGTGTGACCTAGTTTTTGACACCTGGTGATCCATATTCGAACATGACCTAGAAATAATTAAAATCAACTTTCGGAACAATTTACAGGATATTTGGATCAAAACAGTAGCCACTAGAGTGTTAACAAGGTTTTTCTATTATAAGCTCCTGTGACCGATTTTTTCATCCGAGATGACCTATGTTCGAACTCATCCGAGCAATTACCTACACAAGCATCCTGACCAAATTTGATGATAATTGAGTCAAAAATGTTACCACTAGAATGTTAACAAGGTTTTTCCATGTTTTGGCGGTGTGACATAGTATTTGAGCCCTGGAAACCCATATTCAAACTTGACCTAGAAATCATCAAAACCAATTTTTGGACCAATTTACAGGATATATGAATCAAAACAGTAGCCACTAGAGTGTTGACAATATTTTTCTATTTTTAGCTCCTTTGACCTAGTTTTTTTTATTAGAGATGACCTATGTTCAAACCCATCCGAGCTATCACTTAGACAAGTATCCTGACCATGTTTGATGACACTTGAGTCAGAAATGTAAACACAAGTGTGTTAACAATGTTTTTCTATTTTCAGCTCCAGTTACCTCGTTTTTCATCCGAGATGACCCATGTTCGAACTCATCCGAGCAATTAACTAGACAAGCATCCTGACCAAGTTTGGTGATAATTGAGTCAAAAGTGTGACCACCAGAGTGTTAACAAGGTTTTTCCATATTTGGGCAGAGTTTTTCATCCGGGATGACCCATGTTCGAACTTGACTTAGAAATCATGAAATCAAACTTTCGGACCAATTTACAAGATATTTGGATCAAAACAGTAGCCACTAGTGTGTTAACAATGTTTTTCTATTTTCAGCTCCAGTGACCTAGTTTTTCATCCCAGATGACCCATGTTCGAACTCATCCGAGCAATTAACTAGACAAGCATCCTGACCAAGTTTGGTGATAATTGAGTCAAAAGTGTGACCACCAGAGTGCTAACAAGGTTTTTCCATATTTGGGAGGAGTTTTTCATCCGGGATGACCTATGTTCGAACTTGACTTAGAAATCATCAAGACCAACTTTTAGGCTTATTTACAAGACATTTAGATCAAAACAGTAGCCACTAGAGTGTTAACATGATTTTTCTATTTTTAGCTCCTGTGACCTAGTTTTTCATCCGAGATGACCTATGTTCCAACTCATCCGAGGAATTACCTAGTCAAGCATCCTGACTGAGTTTGTGGACACTTGAGTAAAAAATGTGACCACTAGAGTATTAACAAGGTTTTTCTATTTTTAGATCCTGTGACCTAGTTTTTCATCTGAGATGACCTTTGTTCGAACCCATTCGAGCTATAACTTACACAAGCATCCTGACCAAGTTTGATGATGATTGAGGCAAAAATGTGACCACTAGAGTATTAAAAAGGTTTATCTTTTTCTTGCTCCGGTGAGCTAGTTTTTCATCCGAGATGACCCGTGTTCAAACGCATCCGAGCTATCATCTAGACAAGCATCCTGACCAAGTTTGATGACACTTGAGTCAACAATGTGACCACTAGAGTGTAAACATGGTTTTTCTATATTAAGCTCCTTTGACCTAGTTTTTTATTCGA